CCCAAATTACTCCCAAAGCCCACTAAACGCACAGCCCATCTCTCATCATCTATTTAGCCAATCCACTTGCTTTTCAACCCAATAAACACTAAATCCAACCCACTTATCACATATTATCACAATCGGCCCAACACCATTCAACCCATGATCAGTCCCAAATATCCAACCAAACCCGATTATAACCAATCCATTAACATCAAATACCCCACAGTTTCACCTGATTTCTCTCTCATAACCTCTCTCTTGCCGTTGCCGCCTCTAATCACCATCACGCCACCACTTCATTATCTATTGTACCCAGGCATCCAGAGCACTACAACTTCATCGCCATAGGCCACCACCACCAACCCAAGATCATACACTTCCACCACAATTACCACACTCATATATTTTCTCGTCCATCTCAACAATCTAAAAGCCTCAGTCACTACACACAGTTTTATGTCCACACCAAAACCAGCACAAGTTACAGTCTATAGGGGCTAAAACCATTGGATACGAAGGGAAGAACAGAAGCATAGTTGGGGCTCATAAGTCGGCAATTCAGATCAAGCGGCATACAAATAATCAAAACTAAACAACAGGGAGTCCTTGATCTCTATTTAGTATTGGTTTATACTACTACTTCATTTTTAAAATTGCATCAATTAAAATCTTGTGCTGCTGTTATTGTGATAATTTTAGCCTTAAACTTCACTTGATCAAAACCATTAATCGAATTGACACTAGTGACCGAATTGACTTCCATTGTTCCCCACTTAAATTGATTGGAAAATTTGACTAGTGTTGACCCTTGCTTTGCCATTTTACATGTACTAGCAGTATTAGCTTGTTTTGGATTTAATTAATCCCAATATTTAAAATTAAATTAAAAAAATGGTACAAGTTATTTTCCATTGCTTGCACGTATTGTTCACTGATCTCATCATAGTACGTCATTTAGCTGGTATTACATTGCATGTAGTTGCATAGTAGTCGTCTTGTCATCTCTATTTCCAATACATTGACCATGTATCCATCCCATTTTGATGCACTCACTAGACAATTAACGCAACTTGCCACTAGCCTATCGACTGTCCAATCAGATATAACTGCTACTCGTGAGGAGAGAAAGAACCTAGCTGCTAAGTTAAGCAATTTTAAGCGAACCCCTCGTTTAACTAACACTAATTCTGAAGCATCTCATAATAGACAATATCATCGTGGACAAAGTGATCAAAAATATTTTCGACGCGATCGTAGGAATAGGGATCAGATTCGTAAGCGAGAACGAGATAATTTTGAAATTCTTACTCAATGGAACGCCCTTAAACAAGGAAATCAATTAATGACAGAGTATATCGCGCAATTTGAGGAATTTCGAACCAAATGTCATTTAATTGAGGATGAAAGCATGACTTTGAGTAGGTTTAGCCAAAGTCTGAGAGATGATATTAAGCGCGAGCTTTTCCTTCAAGGTGTTACTACTCTTGATCACGTTTACTCTTTAGCTCGAGATTATGAGTTGATTATTAGTACTCCATATGAAAAGCGTGGTCATCATCGTTCACCCATCTCATTAGCGTCGCCTCATCATAAGTCTATCATAAAACCTTCTCCGTCTAATGTTCCTCCTATTTGGAAAAATAATTCTAAAGGTCGTGATAGTCCAAGATATTCTTCTTCATGTAGAACGCGTAATGGCAATCATCTTTCGGTTTCATTGACTCCACTTTCTCTTGTTAAGTCCCTTCTAGGACCTCCACCGTCTAATGTGGCTCCACTTCCTCCTGTTAAGTCTCTTCTAGGACCTTCCCCGTCTAATATTCCTCCAATTTTGGAAAATAGGGGTATAATTTGTGAAACTCCAAAGACTTCTCACTTGTTATACATCAGCTGTAAGGATTTTGGCCACATCTCTTCCAAATGTCCTAACCGAGCTTTAGTCATAGAAGAACGAAAGAATGCGATAGAAGAGTCGTTAGAAGATCTAGCATATGACCCTAAACTTGAAGATTTTGATGATTATAGTGAGGACACTTCCTTAAGTGAAATCCCGACCCTTCCCGAGACTTTAGAAACTATACCCCTTGTTTCCGACAACTCTCGATCACATGTTATATGTCATACCCTTACCCAACTCAAAGAGTTTGATGATTTCACTAGTCACCCTTGGAGAATCCAGTCGCTTGTTCTTAGTACTAAATCGAAATTCTCCACTACTGACCAACCTCAAACTGATGGTCAAAACGAAATTGCTAACCGAAGTCTTGACAATTTATTACAGTCTCTAGTCCAGAAAAATCTTGAGAATTGGGACTCGATCCCCCCAACTGTTCACATCGCATATAACAATTCTATGAATCGGTTTCTAGGTCTAAATTCATTTGAAGTTGTTCATAGTTATAAGTCTAGGCGACCGTTAGATCTTATTCTCATGTCCCCGCATGCTAGTGTGTTGTTGTCAGCTGAAACATTTGTATATCATCTTCATGACTTGTATATTGAGATCAATAAACAACATGACGCAAGTAATGCATTATATAAACTTCAAGCTGATTTGCATAAACGATATTTTGAATTTAATATTAGGGATTATGTCATATTGCAAGCTTGTAGTGCTGGTCCTTTAAAAATTTTAAAGCATATGGGTTCAAATGCACATGTCATTGCCCTTTCATCACATTTTAGCCACCACTCTGTTTTAAATATTGAGGACTTCATTACTTACAAATACCGTATTACTTCCTCTGATGATCCATTTCTACCTAACTTTGTGGACCCCCAATTTGACTATATTGATATTTCTACTTTAATACCATCTATCAAAGCACACAAAGATAAAATTGATGCTATTTTAGATGAACGTGTTGTATTGACCAATGATTGCAAAATTCAGTACTTCCTTGTTTGTTAGGTAGATCGACGTACTTCTTATGCTCCTCATTATGTACAATCATGTGAAAATGTTGAAGATGAGGTGCATGAGTATTGGTTATTTGAAGTCCAGTATGAGTACTTGGTTAGAATGAAAGATCGGCCCCTTGGTCAGATCATATTCTTGGGAATAAGCTACAGTTTTAAGTACTATCAATTATGGAATTTCGTTACTTGGTTCGTCAGGAAGATCATCCCCCGTGGTTTGACTTGAAGCATTTGGAGTATTAGATTGACTGCACCCTATACTATCTATCAACTCGACAGGGTCGAGTTTTTCTCCCACCCCGAAAGAGTTGATGAGGACATCGGACGACGTTTACTTATTTTATTTAAGCTTTATTTATTTTCTTGGACTATTATTTAAATTTGGACTTGTATAGGCTCGGGCCCAAGCTCGTTAGAGTTGCTTTACTATTTAAACCTATTTTACATTGTAATTTTCAGTTGATGATGAATGAATAATTATTTTGGTGGCTTATGACGCATCCCTCCCCTTCTTCTATTGAATTCTTCTTCTATCCCCTCCCTTAATTCCCCATTCTTTCTGAATCTTTCTTCTATCTCTATTAATCATCATTTTGGTGCTGCATCACTTAACCTTTAAAATGACCTGGTCCAACACATTCCTATCAATTGTGACCCTTTTCTTGAAGAGTAGAATTGCATTTCAAGCTAAATGATTGGCTAATGTGTTTTGTGAGATATACGAACAAAATGGTGTACAAGTTCCCTGTGTATCTAAACTTTTACAGAGTACAAACAATCCATAAAACTGTGCTAAGATCAACAGTATCGGCAACAAAAAAAAAAAATGAAAAAACCAGATGAACTCGTGAATTTTCCATTCAAAAATGATAACAAAAATCCCCGAATATTAGAATTGGGCAAGTTGCCTGTGCATGATAAGCGTATAACTTTATGTTTCCGGCTAAAGAAACTACCAAAAACATAAATTGAAGTTACAAGATCAATGCGTAAAACCTTCAGATAAACCTAAATCATTTCTTATTTGATTTTACAGGGACACCTTCATACATCTTTACCTTTTCCTTCAATGCATCTCTTCGAGGACGTGCCACCTTGTTGTTGGGATCAAAGAGAAGAACTTCTTCAAATGCCTTAAGGGCAGATTTCAAGTCTTTGTTCTTCTCGTAAGCATCACCAAGGTTGTTCCAGGCAGTGACATAACTGGGTTGAAGTTTGACAGAGTTCTCGAATTGAACAATACCCTTGTCGATTTTTCCATCACGAATATAACTGACACCAAGAGCATTATAAACCTGGTGAATGGAAATATTGTTGTTATTCATTAAGCCTAATCCCTAACCTCTGACAGCACAGAACAATTAGACTCCACACAGTCCAAAAATGGTAATAACACAAAAGCTTAGAATATTTTCCATTTTTCTATATGCATCCTATTTTTCTTCAATTTCTCTATAGGCTAAAACTTCATTGGGAAAAACTCTCTTTAAGAGGATGTCCAGAAAGATGCAGTGATAGCTGCAAAAAAAAAAATATCCATTTGCTGTGCGTGGCTACTATATATGATCTCATACCGGCTTCACTGTGAATACCATTTCAATGATGAAATTAAGCATATGTTGACAATAATTAACTGAAAATATAGCGAAAATCACGAGATAAATATTAAGGATTTACGTGCTACAGCTTTGGAATTCAGATATTTTGACAACTTTATGACTTTAAATTCTCTTGACGAGCAAAAGAACAATTCTTAGAATCTTTCATTCTTTTCCACACCTGTACATTTTAGAAATTGGCTGAGATATTTGATTGTTCCGAGGATGAGAAGGATGATTTTGAAGCCAATATTGAAGTCGAAAGTAGTATGCTAGCATCACTGTGCAATGAGCATTTTATCTGTTTTATTATTGATGTGATGGTATATAAAGTTAAATAATTACTTGAGCAAGATCTTGATCATCTCCATCCCATTTATCAATTGCCTGAAGCAGATACTTGATAGCGGCTGGGTAGAACTTTCTTCTCAACATTACTGCTCCAAGTTCAAACAACTCAGTCCCGCTAGCGTCTCCACTTCTCACTTGCTCCTGAGATTTATTAAAAATAGTAGCATCATGAGAAATAGATGGAACAATAAACAAAAATTAAGAAATGCGGACCCCTTATGAATTTGTCTGATATACAAGTACAAAAGGGAAATTTAAGCCGCTATTTAGATACAAAAATGATTTAAAAATTAAGGCAAAATCAAACGTTAATTTTAACCACATGTTCGTAACTACTACTCATTATTATCTACACATTTTATGGGACCTACTATCGTTCCTATTTATAAAAAATTTATAAATTTGTCAATTGGAGCCTAAGAAACATGACATCGGGTATCTTTAGAAACAAATAGAAAATAGTTTTTAATTCTGATATTGAGTTAAAAAAGACAGAATATTCAAAACTCATTATAGCCCCTGTTTGGTGGGGATTAAAATCTTGATTTTTATCTAAGTCAAAGTCAACAATTAATTTTAACTATTTTTCAATCACACATTTAAAATTTGATTTTAATCCCCATCAAACAAGGGCATAATATACAAACGAGGAAATAGACTTGATAGCAACTCTACAAAATTAAAGATGAAATTCCTTCAATGGAAATGATGAAAGTATTTATTATGCAAATGGATATCGAATGAAAATCTACAATAGAATCAAAATGACAAGACTAGTATTAACACAAATTAAGTGTTCTGGCAAGTTAACTAAGCAAGTTAAAGGTAAATAGAACTTTGAAATACTAGGGCCCCCTTGACAGATGGGAGTACATGAAGATTCAAAGAAATTCATAAAGTATATATATATATTTTTAACAGATTAGTGCCTATATATGAGTCAACTTAACTTTGATAAATGGTTTCTTCTATTACAATGCGATCCACAGAAAGCCTGGGACACTAAACATGGAGGAGGAAAGGGTTTTGGGGAGATATTTCTTCGGAAAAGTGTAGTCCTGTTCATAACGATTGTACTCCAGGAGAGACTATCTAAGGATAATGTCTGTACTTACAGAAACAATAAGTTAACTTAATTGTGACAGAAATGCTGAAAGAATAATAGAATTAGTATAACTGTCCTGTCAAAGAATTATGAAGAGAATGATCCTTTTTATAAGTTTAAAAATTACCTTAAAATGACATATTCTACACTAATTATGCGATCAAATTAATCAAAGGGAATCCGTAAAATATAAAATATCATGGAGAACATGAAAATATTTCCATATCCTTGATATTTACATGTAGCAAGACACAAGGTTGATATATCTTTGGAATATCAGGTAGTGCCAATGAACTATCTTTACATATATTCTCTTCAAACATACGATAGCTATAAAACGTTCTTATAGTTTTCTGATAAAAGAATTCGTTCATGATAACATAATGACTTTTATAGTGGAGACATTTTTCTATTTAGACCCTACCCTCGGTGGTAGAACGCATGCAATATGTACGATATCGAGATTGAGTGTCCCAATTATATCAGTTATATTTTTGCTTCTAATTGATAAGCACATGCTTGTGGCTATATAATCAGAACCCGTCCTATTGCTAATTCCTTCTCTAGTTTGGAGTTTTAGGTCGGGGGTCAAAGCAAACCAAGCCGTTTACTTATATCAAAGATCAAGCGAAAACACATACGTACTTACTTGCAATTCTTTAGCAGAAAGATCAAGCTCTCTGCGCATAAGGACTTGACGGATTACAAAGAAAGTTCCAGCCCCAAGCAAAGCAAGTAACAAAAGTAGATAGGAAAGCTGGATTCCCAATTCAAATAGCGCGTAGACGACATTTGTTCTTACATCTTCATTTGCTTGTACCATTTGTGCAGGTATTAACCATGAACAACAGGAGAAAGATGATACAAAAACAAAAGGCCTTTTAACTCTTGTTATAGCTTCATCAACTGAAAGCTTCCTCAACAATTCTGGGACAGAATGGGGAGATCAGCTTTAAATCTATTTACAGTATGCTTAACCCAATGCTTTATATAAATGTCACCCATAAATAGCACCAAAACCTAAACCTAAAGATTGACGATCCGAAGAAGTTAAGAAACTAAACCCAACAGACCAGAAAGAAGAGAACTCCATCTTAAGAGTTTATGATTTGAACCCCGACAGCGAACCTTTAAACACACCTGAAAAAACTGATATTCTACATTCTAAATCTGATAAATCCACATCGTATAGCTCAAAAGTCAATGAAGATTATTGCTTTGGAGAAGGAACTACTCTATTTTTCGCTGCTTTTATGAATCATCATTAAAAAATACTATAGAGGTTTTATTTATATTATGCAAAATATTTATTAGAAAAGTAGTATAAAGCTAATTACTAGAGGTTTTATGGTGTGCTATTTGTTCAAGGGCACATAATGAATATAAACATGGATATGAATCAGAGTGAATTAGCCACTGAAAAGAAGAAATTGCAATTACCTTTAAGATTTTCTAAGGTCAATGAAGATGTTATTTCCATTTCCTTTTCGAATGTCTGCGTCCATTGACAACCAAACATTAAGTTAATTAGAGCACATTGAATAGCACAATCAAGATTTAGTTCTTTCTAACAAAGAATGTAAAACTAGGATAGCATTGAATTTATTTCTTTATTGAGTGGACACTACGTGGGTAATAAACAATGTCTTGCTATCAATTCCCTTTGAAAACAAAAATTTCGTGCTTTTTACCACGTTACCAATTGGCAAGATTCTGTGGCATATGAAAACTAAGTCGCTTAATCTCTGTGAAATGAGCGAAAAAGTCCATGATTTTCACTCTTCACATCATCCATGAAATAACAGACTAATGTTTGGATGATTGCATAAAAGATAACAAACAACAAACTAAATTATCAACAAGTATGCGCAGTGCAAAAGAAACAATTAGTATGTTTCACCAATGAAAATGCAACTTGACCAGTCACATCCATCCTCATTTGCAACTAATATGATAGTTAAGCATTTTTTTTTTACTCAATTATGCACTCTTCCTTATTACGAAACAACAAATACTCATATTAATCTCTTTCCTAGTTCATACATACAGTTTATTACTTCGAATCTTAAGATCACCAAAAAACCAAACATACTAAGTTATTTCACAATGTGTAAGAAAATTAATAACGGATTACACGGACATTTATATAGGAAAATTCCATAGCAAAAGTTAAAATCCCACAATTTTAAACAGAGAGAAGGAAGATTTCAGAGTACCCCCATACCTGCAACGAGAGTTTAAAGGGCCTGAATTTATGCTTTGTGGGTTTTCTCGGAAAGTAACATAGAGCTGTCCCGTTACTATGGAGGACTGAAAATTCACAAGAAACCGGATGAAACATAATCCTTTGTGTTAGATTTGGGATAAAAATAGGGGTGCTGTAAGAATGTTGCAAAGGAGGTGCAAAGGTACATTGGATTAGCATTCTCTTCTTCTACCTGCAATTTGTTATCTGTGTTCTTGGTGAGTTTTTGTGCATAAAGACTTAATTTTGGAAACATCAAGAGAGAAAATCTTGGATCATTCTTGGAAAATTTTAGTTTTGAATTGTTGAGGATAAACTTTTCTCAGTTTGTCTCAGGCTGAGCCAATTCTTTCATGGTAAGCTTATGAACCTGGATCGACCGGACCGGTAATTGAACCGGGATAGTTTTCTGATTTTAGTTTGGGAAAATAGCACTACTAGTCCTGGACTATTAGAGATATACAATTAATCTTAACTAGGAAATTTGTTCAAATCTCCACTAAATCGTTATGTGATCTTTGTATGTCTAACTTTACAAAATTAAAATTCGCTTAAAATTTTAGTCATTGTCTAAATATTTGAAGTGACATACATTTCTTTGAATTTGACATAACAATTAAATTGAGATTTTGATGTTCTCTAATGTCGGTGTTAAAAGTGGAGGACCAATTTATTAGTTTTTAAAGATTGGATATCAACTTTCAATATATAAATACATGGAGGACTAATCCTGCAACTTTTCCTTTTCTTCCTATTTCTTGAGTTTTTCTATACTTTTTGGTGGATGGAAGTGGTCTTGTGTTTATGGAGATTGTAGGTGGAGAATTTATTAAAAATCTATGGGTTTGTTTTTGTCCCATTTTAGGGGAGAATAAATTTTGTATTATCAATTTTTTTTTAAGAATGTGTGATTAAAAAAAATTGAATTTAAGTGTGAATTTATTTTATTAGGAGAATGTGTGATTGAAAATAAATTTAAAAAAAATTCTAAAGAACAAGGCTCAAATCTGGGCATTGTTTTGGGAGTATATTTAAGTTAAAGGAATCGAAAATAATTCATTCATTTTGTCTTTTTAAATTAAATGAGTATGTAAATTTCAATTTTGAAGAATTCATAAATTAATTTAGTTGTACAAACTTAAACAAAAATTGTTTACAAACTAAGCATTGAGAAGATCTTGGGTCATTGATTTTAAAAACCATTTTTTAAATGATTGGCGTAGATGTTGCCAACACATTATTTGTAAATCGAGTTTGTCAATATAGTTTGTACAAATGTCATGATTCATTTTTCATTATTCAATTTTAGTGTTAGATTTGCATGGGAGACCCACTTGGCTCCTCGGGATGAAGAGGTCAGCTGGAGACATGTCCTCAATCATTCCCTAGGTCGAGAATGAAACATTGTGAGGAAGGTGGTGTTAACACTTTAGGACCTTGAAGGTTGATGAGGGCATGTCTTGAGTTAGAGATGATAATATAATATTGAGGGAGAAGAAGTCTCAAAGCTGACTTTAGATCAAGTCGCATTTTACTATGAAGTTGGATGAAAGTCTTTCTTTAAACAAATAGTAAATAGAGATAATTAAATTGCTACCTCACCTCTCAAAAAATTTCGATGAGAGGAGGGGTCAATCATTTTGCCGATCCTATTTCATTATCACCTCTATTATTTTTGGATTATGCTGTGTATACACTTACGACACCCCTTGATACCAAAACAGTACACCTAGTCTAATCCATTATTTTTACAATCCTAATATGAAGGTGAAAATCAAGAAAAAAAATAGGCAATCTCATCACTAAGCTCAATCGGTAAGGTAGTTGAAACCTCCGCTCTCCTCTTTCAATGAGTCCAAGAATTCCATTTTAGCCCTCATTTGGCCCGTCCCCATTTTTTGGAAATGTAGTGTTTTTTTTGAAAAATAAATTGTTAAAAAAGAAAAAAAGAGTTTTCGATTAAAGTGTAATACTATTTTTTGAAAGATTACATGGTTGAAAATAGGGAAGAAAAAAATAAAATAAAAATTAATGGGGCCAAACGGGGACTTAGTTTCCTCCAAATCACACTCCAAATTTTCATCACTCCTCCTCCTCTTCTTTCTCTCTCACATACACACAACATTAACAATGTCACACGTCCTCCACACCAACTTCATACCCACCACTTTCCCTTCTCTTCATTGCCGACTAACACGAAGCACCTAGAACTCGACTCGGGCCCTCCAAACCTATTCCAAGATCCAAGAAATTTTCATGCCGGCATTGAGCTCCACCTTGTCGAAGGGGAAATTCATTAGCTGGATCAAGTCCCAGGGGGAGAAGCTTTCCAAGGGCGATTCGGTGGTGGTGGTGGAATTTGACAAGACGGATATGGATGTTGAGTCATTTTACGATAGTTACCTCGCCGCCATTATGGTAGAGGAGGGACATTCTACCTCCCTTGGGATGCCCATTGCTCTTTTTGCAGAATTGGAAGATGAAATCGTCGCTGCCCTAGCCCAGAAATCATCCTCTTCTGTTGCCCTCGCCGCCGCCTCCACCACCGACCCCATCGAGGAGAGCAGGCTCGGTTTTGGGCCGAGGCAAGTGAGGCCCTTGCCTCAGGCCCAAAAATTTAGGGGGCCTCATATATATATATATATATATATATATATATATATACCTAATCCCTAATTTTTCCCTTCCGTTTGCCCTATTGCGAGAGGTGAGAAGAGGCGAGAAAGAAACAACCAGAGAACGGCAACCCACATTACCCACGCCATTGCCTAGTGCCTGCCTGCCTACTTGTATGTATTCCTTCTTATTTTTTTGCATTGAATTCATTGAATAGGATAATTAGAATTTAAATGGAGTGAAAAACCCACATCCTCTTCAACTGAAACTTCCCCTTTATTTTTCTTCTTTTATATTACATTTATTTTTTTTATTTCTATTTAATTTAATCATTAATTATTCTTATATTAATGTTAACATATAATTAATCACGCATATAAATAAATGAATATACACAAGACATAAATTTTCATCTTCTTCATTGAAGAACGCAGTCGATAATCTTGAGGGATAATTATTCCTAATTACTGGAGCATGAAGGTACTTAAAATTATATAATGTTCGTGAAAATAATGCATTTATGTTATCACAGTATTGTATTTCAATGTGATTTCATGTTTTTCTAAAACTTAAGCACAATTTTTTTTGTTTTTTAATCAATTATTTATTATCTCCTTTTGGATAGTTTTCTTCATTCCATCTTTTTGAGTAAATTGATGAAAATTAGGAGTTTTCGGTAATTTTTTTGCTTAAAGATTTTATGAGGTTTGTGGAGTAGGAAAATTTATTATTTATGTTTTAATAAATTGTCGAAAATTGTTGAGTGTTGACTTTATGAGTGATGATCCTTTTGAGACCTTTAATCATTGCAACGGTATTATATAATGTCAAATTTAATTACAGCAATCACTCCAGTTACTTTATTATAAGTGATAATTAAGATGGAGTTTCAATTCTGGGTATTGTGGTCTTTGGCCGTGGGTACTCGGTTGTTGAATTAAATTCCTAGAATTTGTGCATTGCAACGAGCTCTATGATTTGTAGGAATCTTAGTTGTGAGTTCATTCCTCTCCTTTTATGCTGATAGGTAATTTTCATGGAACAATAAACTGTATGAAAATCCGGTGAACATGAGTTTGAATGGAAGCAAAGGCCAAAGAGAGAGGTCTCCAATAGAGCATTATTTAGGAATTTGAACCAATGAAAACATTGAAAAGATGCTCACCTAGTCACCTAGCCACCTTGGCCATGGTTTTCATGATTAGTAAATCTTTATTTATTAGTTCCAATGCTTAAACAATACCAAAACTCAAATCTTATTGGCTTCTAGGATCTACTTTTTGAGCATTAAAATTTTTAAGCACTAAACTTTATCTTCACATATAATTTAAATTTATCGACAACAATTAATTGGGTGTTATGATTGTTGTTAAATTTTGCTTTCAGGATTGTGTGTTGTGACAGTAGAATTCCCAAAGTGCTGCATCGTGTCATTTCATAATTTCTGCTCAATGCCCTAAATTTAATTTTACTTAAATTTGATAATGTGTAAATTAAAATATCATAATTTTATTTAAATATTTATTTCAGGCTCGTAAGTTGTGACGGTGAAATTCTAAAGGGTGTGATTCCACAATTTTCGTCGAAATTTCACTTCTAAGATAAGTAATGCTTGCTCTAACTTGTTATTGAAGAGATTGAAAATATTTGAAGCCTTGTCAGCTTATATAATTGCAGCATGGTCGGCTTATATAATTGGTTATTGTAGGATGAACAATTGCATAAGTGCACGTAGTAACTAATTTACATCTATGTTGATTTTGCCGGGGGGCATAATATACTGGAGAATTTTACATTTACGTTGATTTCGCCAGGGGCCTAATTTACGAACTTCGTCTCAGACCCCGACAATTACAGGACCTGCTCTGGCGGAGAGTAACATTGGCAATGAAACTCCCAATACCATTACAAGTGTAAATGTTAGTATTAGAAGCTCTGTTGCTATTGGTGCAATGGGATCCTCAGTGCACTCGGCATCCGAGGGGGGAAAGAGAGTCGTGGCATCGCCATATGTCGAAGAAATTGGCGAAGGAACTTGGGATGGATTTGATTGGCCCAGTGGGGAGTGATCCTAATGGGAAGATAGTGGCAAAGGATGTGGAAGTGGCCGCTGCTGCGAAATTGAGTACTAGTGGGGGTGCTACAGTTGCTAGTGAAGCTGCTAAGCCGAGTAATGGTGCTGCTGCTGCGGTGGAATTGGAGTCGGTGGTTCCATTTACTATAATGCAAAATGCACTGAGTAGTAATATGGTGGAGAGTTTTGCTGTGTAGACGTTTAGAGTCGGGTATACAATTATCACTAATGCACTGGATGCTTTGTACAAGAAGGTAATTCAACGATTATGTTAATCGATTTGCTATAAATATTGATTCTTGAAAAAAATTACTGGTTTTTTGAGTTCTGCTAAATGCAGTAGTTGAATGATCTATACTTGCTATAGTTGGGATCTGTAAAAGATATTGTCGACATGGAGATAATTGTGAGGAAAAGCTTTGAAATTTCCAACGTTTGGTGAATATATATTCTGTCAATTACTAAAAGATTAGCATAAATTTTCTTTAGCAATTTTGTGGAGTCAATTCAGATGTTGTAGCTAGAAGGTGGAAAGAAGTAGTTTAGATTTTAGGAAAAAAAATCGGGTTTGAGGAATGGAATGTGTGGAAACATAGGCGCATTCATCCAATAAATTGTTTGTGTGAATTTGCATGTGTAAAAGTGCTTCTTTTTTCATTTCTCTA